TTAGGCTAAATATACTTTACTTCAGGTTGCACGAGAGAGGGCGCAAACAAGGGAATAAGATCCAAAACAGAATCAGATTATCGAAACTGCTCCTTCAAAATCAATTTCATCGATTTGAAATTAGAGTGCAATTAGAAACTAATATGGGAGATTGATGCTAGTATTATTTCTCAGGTTAAGTTAATTTTTGTCTATTCTTAGCCTCATAACTTGCCTGGATGCAAAAATTTTGAATATATGTATTTGAAGCATTCATTGCTGTCACAATGGATGTAAATAAATAAATAATAATTAACATAGGGCCAACTTATTTTATTAAAGCATTAATTCACAAAATATTTGTATATATTGTGCATGTTATGTTTTTTCTGCTCTTTATATGCTATTTTTCCTACTAATGTACTTTTTACAGTTCCAAAATCCAAACAACCGAACCCAAGTAATATCAATTAAGCTGGAGTTCAGGAAAAGAGGGAATATCAAGTCAAGTCAAGTCACCAGAGTGTGTCTGCCTCCCGAACAATGTTAGGTAGGTTATTCCAGAGTTTGGGCGCTAAATAGGAAAAGGATCAATGGATCAAGCAACCATTGAAACAATGTTAAGTCAATGTTGATGCGTCAATGCTATAGCGGCATTGAATTAATGTTACAAAGTGGTGTTTGTTCAATATCACTTTTGCACCCGCAATTAATGTTGAAACAATGGTGAGATTTCAACAACAACAAAAGAAAATCAATAAAAATGTCATCGAATCAATGGCATGAAGAGATGTTGATTTATTATCACTTTGTACCTGCAAACAATGGTGAGACTTCAACTAAAAGATAATAATACATCCATTGAATCAGTATACACTGATTGATTCTGCATTACTGCTGTTGATTTAACATTGAAATGAACAAAAATAATCAATGGTAATATTGTTGAATCAGTGTTATACTGTGATTGATTCCACGTCACCAATGTTGAAGCACTATTGAAATGAACACAAATAATCAATGATGTCAGTAAATCAATGTTACACTGATGTTTATTCTACATCATTGCTGTTGAATCAATATTGAAATGAACAAAAATTATCATTGGTAATATCGTTTGATCAATGTTAATGTGATGTTGGTTTTAAATCACTTTTGTTAACGACTAGGTTGTATGACCTTTGACTAGGTTTGCAGGACAGCATTTCTTACAGCATAGTAGTCTGCTTGATCTGTGGAGTCCATGAAGCTCAAAATGAATTCACGAGGACACATATAAACATACACCACATATAAGACAACTCACTGTGGAAAATATATATGCTACCTGATATGATGAGATCATGCTTTCACAGCAGATGCTAAAGAACAAGGAAAAAAAAACTGCAGTTCATTGCAGAGCTCTCACCTCTTTTTTCTCTGGAGACCTGTCTCTACTCAACTTTCTTTCAGAACCAATTTTTATTTACTTATTTTGTGTTTTCTTCACATTTTAGATTTTCTTGTAAACACCACAACAACCAGTTCACAGAGTGTGCAGCCCTCTGGAGGTATATTAACGTGTTAAAAACAGCAATACACAGCAATAGCTTGTGGATTCTTCTTGGAGCCAAACACCGGTAAGTCTGCACTTAATGAGTCACAAATCACAACGTTAGCAACTGCACGGAGAACTCGTTAAAGGTACAAACTACTGTTTGTTCTTAATTGAATAGTCAGTTCAGAACATGTGCATAGATTATGCTTATTAATTATATAATAATTTGTTGTCAGGTAAACTTGGCTGGTATTCCAGGCTACTACATGCACACATATTTGTGCAGTTTAATTTTAACCTTTTCTGCTTTTTTCCATATGCAGTGTCTGGGAATTATATACTCTACCATTCAAAAGTTTGTGGTCAGTAAAAGTTTTTTGTGTGTAAGAATGTTTTTTTGACAGATATGACCCCAAACTTTTGAACGGCAGTGAAGCTGGTCTCTTCAGAAAAAATGGAACCGACCATGTGAAGTTAAATGAATGAATAAATAAATAAATTAGAGAAATGTTCTACAAAGCGCCACAAGGTGGTACCGTCGAGTCAACAATTAGTCTCATCCAGGGACTTCTCATGTCATGTATAATGGATTCCTGTGGTTTCATTGAAAGTTGTCTTATTGCATAACCTCTGCTTGGATCCTGATTCCTGTTTGTCTTTATTTGTCATATTTTATAATTTTACTACAGTAGCAAGCCTAATGACATGTGATAATCATTTCAACATATTGTTAGCCTACTTGCTAATTGTTATATAACCTCTAAATAATATGTGAAACGACACAAGAGCATCAATAGGCTATCAGATGATCATTTCAACAACTTGTTAATTACTAATTGTCGCATACAGTGGCAGCTTGTCGGGTGACCCTTACGAAAAATAAGTTTATTCAAGTGTGCTATCTTAAAATATACTTGAACTTTACTTAAGTATACTTACTAAAATAAACTTGAAGTATACTACTTTTTGGTAAGGGGAGGCACTGCAGTCACGTCATCTGCGCTTCTGGGAGGTACAGCTTCCCCAAAATTTTGAGGTGAAAATGGGAGGAGGACGATTTAATGTTAATAAAATTCACAATTCATTTCAGTTCATGTCTCAGAATGTGTCTTTTTTGTTTGTAATTTCACAGCTGTAATACCATAACATGTTACTGAAGTTGGAAAGCGCCGCTTTTCTATCGCGAATGTGCCGAATCTGCTGCTGTAACTACAACCGCTAGGTTATAGAAAAGGGGAGGGGAGGCCGGGGGAGAGCTCTGGTGCCTCTTTTGGTAAAAAAATAATAATAATAATTAGCCAATCACCATCGAGTGTTCACTTTCAGCGCTGAGGAGTGTTGAGAAAAGAAACATGCAGGGGAAGCTAGCCTCCCTTCTGATATCAATCAATCATCATAGAGACGTAAATTACGTGATATTAGTTTCAACGTCTCCCGCTGCGCTGATAATGTACCAAGTACTTATGATGAGTAGCGATATTGAATATTTGATAGTTTGAACGTCTCCCGCTGCGCTGATAATGTACCAAGTACTTATGATGAGTAGCGATATTGAATATTTGATCGCCAACAGATTTACCAAGCTGTCATTCAAACAGTATATAGGCTATACAAATTAAAAATAAAGGGAGAACACGCCTAACTGGATATAGACTACAGCAGTCATCTTAATTAAATAGCACAACAGGCAGCTCTCTTTTAACAGACTTTTAAGAAGGGATGGATGTTTGCTTCAAGTGATAGGCCAGGTAAGTGAAGTTATATTATCTTGCTGTATGTATGTCGTTTTCTTTACGTTTTCTGACTAAAAGCAACCAAAAAGCCATTTTAAAGTGGTTAAGCAAATAATAATAATAATAATAATAATAATAATAATCGACAGGGATCCCCAGACCAATACAATTAGTGTGCCTCCTCTATTTTAAAACCCACAAGCCGCCACTGGTCGCATAGTCCTATATTATTTAGAGCTCATGTAACAAAAGTGAGGTCAGACATGACCCTGACTCATATTTGGCTCCATGCGTTCACTAGAATTACCGCAACACGTTAATTAGAAGGGGTATCCGCATACATAAACAAATACAAATATATAGGCTTATCTGACAAATATGGCATATATGAGCATGCGAACTATTTAACAGGTGGGTTGGTTCCCAAATTAAAGGAACCTTTAGCCTAGCCTACTTCACACAGTGCACTCAATAAATTATGTCTTTTGTCGTTCCACTAGGTTACTTTATTGATGTCCGGGGGAAATCGAATTAGTTCTCAAGCGTTTCAGAGCAAGAACCAAATCAGATATAGCCGATGTAATAAAGTGATTAGACGCACAAAGCTGTATTCAAACTGCACATATACCTTGCATTAGAAATAAAACATGTAACCAGCCATTACAATGACTTCTTATATAGTGTACATTTAGCATTACATAATCGTGTCTCGTACCTCCCCCTAGAGGCACTCGGCAGTCATCCGCCTGCATGAGCGGCACACTGCATGAACAGCGCTCATGTTAACAGGCAATTAATCAGCTCTGAACTTGACTGAAGGCGTTTGCGACGCTGCTGTGCGATGCCATTTATCAACATGTGACAGGAGCAACAAAGCTGGAATGGAGCGAGATGTTTTTGATTAAACGCTTCCAAGGAGATGAACCAAACAAACGTTGCCATGAACGAGTGTGTTTGGTTACAAACACTCAGAGGGCAGGGGAAGGCTGCCGGAGCCAGGTGCCGCTGTTTTGTTTGTGTGTGGTGCGGTTGCCATGGCAACAGAGGGACCGGCGGCTGTCCCTCAGACTTAGGACAAATGGACCGGTGTTCCGTACACACGCTGTGTGTAATGCTGGATATGACAGTTAACAGCGTTTTTGACTTTGTTATTAGGTATCTGGTGTTATTTAACCACAGTTTTACTACTGTATTTTTGGAGGTTGCTGTGGTTGCACAGTGGCACATTTTTGTTAGGTTTATGAGAGGCAGCACAGGCAGGTGCAAAGAACTTCATTTTATGCACAGTGCTGAATAAAGCAAAAAAGGGTTTCGACCTGTACAAAGCAAGAGACCTACAGTATAAATTTTTAACAATGTAAAATATTTTTTCTTGGCATATCATTTCATTAACAGCCTTCAGGGAAGATCAGTTCATGGACCCCTAGTTGAAAGCCCTTAGTTTTACAGAATTAGCATGATGGATATGTTTAAGCATGCTGTAGAATGTGAAGCCATAATCTATTTCATCTTTATTTTGAAACTAGTAGTTATAGCAATGATGCATAGTAGCTAGTAATTACACAGACAATGTTTTTTGTTGTCTGTTTTAGTCTTGTACCTCGCCAGAGATGTTGCTGTTACTGCAGGAAAAAAAATAGTTGTGTAGCCTATGTATTTTATTTGTTATTTAAAATAAACCAAAATAGGCCTACATAAACAAAATTTAAAATAAAACACACCAAAAGTTATTTAGTAATAGTTTATACAAAGGCAGTTTCCAGTTTCAGTTACACAGTAAGCTAACTTAAAGATATGACAATGAATGTTTGGAAATAATAACAGAAGGCTAATACACACATAAAGCTGGTTTACCATTATCCTTTGGAGAATGACATTTAAGTTTTAGCAATGAATATTGTTAGATTTTATTGACAGCAATTCCGTTAGTGCATCTATACACATGTTGGAGGAAATAAATCTCTTAAAGGGCTTCCTGTGTTCCGCTTGTCCCTCTCTGAAGCACTGTGATGTTTAGATGCGCCTAGCTATTAAACAGCAACATAAAAACTGAAACAAAAACACTAATGATCTGTTTCCCCACCCAAAGAGCTGTCTTTATGCTTCCTCTTTGAGATTTTCACCTGAAATCCTACATACAGCAGGGGCTGGTATCTCCATGAAAGGATTGAGACCAGTCCTCTCTTACCCTTCTGTCAACTTTCTAACAAAAACCGACTGTAATACTTCTTTATCCTTAAAGACAAACATTTACAACACATCCTGTGTTACACTGCATAGTGGCTGTGTGAGATTTTACAGGTCAAAGTTCAAGTTTGGCTTTGGTCCAGACCTAAGTGCTGATGAAGATGAAGCTCAGAGCTTGCTGACATGGAGACAGTGGGGCCTTACTTGGCCTTCGTCTTCTCCTCGTAAGTCCCAGCGTCCTTGTAGGCACCTACGTAGCCTGTGTGCTCCACAATCTCCTCCCGCCCACCTTTTCCTTTGCCTTTCCCACTGTCATCAAAACGCTCCTTGTGTGAGCCCGTATATTTAGAGGTGTCGGTTAACCGATCCACGGCACCAGTTTTTGCCACTTTCTAGAATGGTTAAACAAATATAACATACAAATGAGTGATATATATATATATATATATATATATATAATAAAATATGGAACTAGAAATGTGCATCAGCAAACCAAATAACATTTTTATTTAACCAGATGATCTGCACAAGGCTGTTGCAGCCTGCCTCAGCAGATCCTTTTTTTGCATTGAATGAATTCCACATATACATCACATATTCTTGCAACTCCTTTTGAACTTTTAACTAGTTGCCAGGTTTGATTTATTGTTGTTTGATTTGCTACTGCCCTCTTGTGCTGAACCGACTGAGGAATGATGTAGTACCTTGTTAGCGTTTCTCAATCTTGCTTCTGGAGGTCCACCAACACTATTCATTTTAGGTGTCTCTCTTATTTGATGCATCCAAATGAGTTCATAAAAAACGCATGCAACTACAGATGAGTTGAATTATGTGTTAGATACAGGAGACATCCAAACTGTGCAGTGTTGAAGGAGCTTCATGAGCAACATTTTAAATATTCAGGCAATACCCTTCCATATTTCTGTCACATCTAAGATATTAGTTGCCGAGATATTATATGGAAGAAGTTGATGCAGCCTAGTAACTAGATGGATGATGTCATTAATATGGCAAACAAATAACCTTTCTGTCTTCTTGCTTTTTTATTTTTTTAGGATTCTTCAGTGTTTTTAAAGAAGTCTCTTATGCTCACCAAAACTGCATTTATTTGATTTAAAAATCACTATTATTGTGAAATATTATTAAAAATAACATTTAAATATTTAAATAACTGTTTATTTAAATACGCTGAATTTTTAGCATCCAGTCTTCAGTGTCACATGATCCTTCAGAAATCATCCTAATATGCTGATTTGGTGCTCAAGAAACATTTCTTATTATTGTCAATGCTGATTAGTATCTCTGTAAAACCACGATACAGTGAAACCGTGATTATTTTCCAGGATTCGCTGATGAATTGAACGTTTAAAAGAACAGCATAACTTGATCATTGATCATAACTGATCAATCAATTTTTTTCAGTTTAAAGCATCCTTGCTGAATAAAAGTATTAATTTCTTTAAAAAAAAAACTGACCCTAAACTTTTGATTGGTAGTCTATAACACTATTGTTTTGAAATGGCAATATTGATTTTGATGCCATCTTGCACAGTATAGTCACATTTATTTATATCAACATACATTAATGCAAAAATACCTCAAATTATTGTTTTTAAATGGTTGACTTACCGTTACACCAACGTTGGTGGGTTCTTTTCCCTCGATTAGCTTATATATAGACTGCAGTGCCTCTTCTTTGCTTTGATTTTTGAATCTCTTTGGGGCCAGTTCTTCTAGAGCTTTCTGGAACTCCTCATATGTTATGACCCGAGATGTCTTTGCTCTAAATAATATGATAAACATATCCTTTTCAGTATTTCTGTTACATTGCCAATACTGTACAGTTATGCTTTATACTTAATATATGAAAATATTGTTAATATTTACAATATCTACTTGTATATTTTACATTTTATGGGGTTTATTTTGCATGCACAGTAATATATAGGCTATATATATATATATATATATATATATATATATATATATATAAGATTTAAAAAGTCTTCAGAACAAAAAATGCTGAAAAACTCACTTGACTTTTGTGAAGACAATATCTACATCAGTGCTGGTGACATTCTTGCTGTCAATAACTTTGCAATCTTTGCACAGTTTAGCCCAGTTTTTCCCATTCATCTCCTTTCCAGTGGCTTTGGTGTCACCATGAACAGCAAACTTCTTAAAGGCGCTCAGAAGCTCATCCATTTCTGTACTTTCTGCCATATTGGGTATTCTGCCAAACAAATAGTAAAACTATGACCTAATGGAACTATTTCTTAAGAAAAAGAGGTGTATTAACTGACCAAATAAGACATCTGCAATAGTGGCATGATCAACTGGCATTACTGAAGCCTTAATGATGAAAGAGAAGAGAATACTGTGGTTCACTCAGAAAAGAAAGATTACACTGCATTATTATCTGATAGGAATCTCAGATGTGTATTATACAGTATACACAAATAACGTCTACAGCCTCAGGTTGTACAGATAAGGTTGAGCCCAGACAACAAAGCACCTTACGCTCTGATTTAGCAGTTCTGACTGATCTGCATTATCTAAATTGTCCTGTGATTTTGGCTTTGAAATATTTCACTAATGGTCTTCTTATTGTAGAGTTTTGGCAAACTTCTCAAGCAGGTCACCCTCTTTTCCATTACGTTTTGAATGGCCTGAATGAATAAAGAACCAGCCAAAAGTAACACATTTGGTGTGTGTATGGCAACAGAGCCTGGTTTAAAATTTAAGGGCTGTAAGGACTGAGCTAATGAGGTGATTATCAGCACAAAAACACATTTCCTAAACATTTTCAGATGGCCTTTTTAGTTTTACTATGAAAATCTCTTATTAACTATAAATATAACGTTTTTTAAAAAATTATTTGAGAATAGGGATGTTCACACTACAACTATAACAATAATGACAATACCGTTTTCCAGTTTTTCTCCAGCTGATGAACGATAAAACAGCCACTGCCATCAGAATCCATCAGACTTTAAAAAAAACTAAAGCAACAGATGACATAACTGACAAAACGCTAATATAGTTAGCATTATAGTTATCTATATACAGTAGTTATTGCTCTTGGTGTAAACGACCTTAAGTTGGGCAGTTGGACTTAATAGATTTCATAGAAAATCATGTACTCTTTGATGGGCACTATGTTTTTTAGCACTATGATTATGATTAGCACTATGATTCCATCCAGCTGGAGGATATAATACATATTTGATATTCTGAGCCAATTTTAGAACACGTATTGTTTTCTTTCTTGTTCCGAACAAGTGAAAGTCTGGTATATGTGATTCCCAGTCGTTTAGTGTATGATTCACAGTTTTTCCTCTGTAAACATTTACAAAGTTGGCATGTGTAGGGTGCCTAGCGTTTTAAGTCTGTTCCAATTTTAAATGCTGAGGAATGTATTCCAGCCTTTACTGTCTTTCATTGATACCTTCTTTCGTTTTAATACTATACTGAGAAAAGTGTCAGTAGAGACATTAATATGAATCAAATATTTGCTAATACCCATTCCAGCCTCAAGCACGCTAATATGCAGGCATAAAATAACAAATATATCAATGGGATAGTTAATGTAAAGTACAAGAATGCATTGTCTCTGTACTTGCAACTGCATTAATTCAAAGCTCAATGGATCTGTGGATGTGTTTGGATAACGTGGAATTTGAGGCCGATTCTAGACTTTCTTGGTGTGTCTGCACAGTCCAGCCATTGTTGATGGAGGCGAGAGTAGGTGTGTGTATGGTCTGATATGTCTTGGAGTTATTGTGGAATGTTTCAGATGGATGTCAGAAGTTTGGCAGCCGATGGCTCATGGAGAGGTGATGAGTGTACAGCAGCAGTGGGTGGGCTTGCCCTGGCTTCAAATCCAACTCTTTCAGCCATCTGTAGTCTCCTCTGAGCTCACACACAATGGCTCAAGTGTTGCATCAAACAGTCTCTTCTGCTCACCAAGGCTGCATTTATTTGATCACAAATACAGTAAAAACAGTAATATTGTGAAATATTGCTACAGTTTAAAATAACACTTTTCTATATTCACATTTTTGAAAATGTAACTTATTCCTGTGATGGCAAAGCTCAATATTAAGCAACCATTACTCCAGACTTTAGTGTCACATGATCTTTCAGAAATCATTCTAATATGCTGATTTATATTTTGCTTATGTATAATTGCAATCTAAATCATTTTAGTCAGTGGCAGTTGTAATTATCCAAAGTGAACATGATTTCATCTTTTGGCACTTGATGGCCCTTAGTCAGACTGCAGGTGTTGCAGTTAGGACATGTTACTACTCTCTGTTGAAAACAGTAGATTTTAAATTATTTATTATTATTATTATTATAAAAAAAAAATGTTTGCAATTAAAACATGCTCTTTTCTACCCATTTTGACTTTTTGTGGTGTATATTTATGACCAGTAGAAGGAGAGAAAAATATCAACAATAAAAAAGTCATGATGGATACTCCATTCAACACAGTGTCTCATAGCAATGAATGCAAATTTTTTATTTGTTTAGGTGCTAAATCAGTAGCATATGTCATCGTGTCAAATTATGCCACTTTGTTATGTCAATTTATGCACTGAATTCACACTTTACTGTGTAGCAATATTTATATACAGCATGTTTCAATATGCAAACCACAGCTGCTGATGCATGGTGTATTATGGGTCTATGATGTTATGTGTGCATGCATATAGCTAATAAGATGAGTGCATGCATGCATGTGCATTTGTATATGAAGACATTCTCTCACATTAGTGTCAGTGAAATTGCTCTTACCTGTGCTACTGACTTCCAGCTGCTGGCAATCCACGCACATGCACGCACACACGCTCCTGGGTCTGCACAACTTCTGTCCCGTTCTGCTCTCTCTCTCTTTTCTCTGTCTCTCCTGTTACTCCCTTCTGAAATGGAGTGTGTGTGTGTGTGTGTGTGTGAAAGAGAGAGAGAAAGAAAGAGAACCTACTCGAGTTATAGTGACCAGGGTCATTTATCAGTCGGGTTGAACTGGAGCTTGAGCATAGCAACATAGAGAAGCCAGAAAAAGACTTCAACTCTATTCTGGGTGGGGCATTTGTGTTTATCTTCTGTTTTGGCATTCTGTGTTTGAATGTAAATGCTCATTCAATGATGTGAATATGTACGAAGAGAGCGAGGAATGCGATGTGTTAGTATGCGTGTGTGAAAATGCTCATCCAATACTGCCTGTGTGTGTGTCTATACTTAGCTACACTTTGGAACAAGATTTGTCCTGAGAAGTTCTCAAGCCAAATCTGATCTCCATTTTAAGGACATTGAGGACCATTGTCATTTGTAAAAATGATATATAAATAAAGGTGGAGACTTGGTTCTATTCATTGATTGTTGCAAGCTTTCAGTCGATTGTAGAGGCTAGGTTTAAAGGGGTCATATGATGCTGCTAAAAAGAACATTATTTGGTGTATTTGGTGTAATGAAATGTGTTTATGCGGTTTAAGGTTAAATCTCTTTGGATTTGAGACTTTAGTCTTTGCAACTTTACAGATCTTCTTTATGCACCAAGAGCTTGTAACACTCTAAAGAGAAAGGAAAAATTGAAATAGCATCATATGACCCCTTTAAGTGAACTAAATGAATGGAGAAACCTGACATACATCACAGAGAGTCGTTTCACCAGTAAAATAAAAAAATTAAAAATAAAATATATGCATGCAATATATGCATAAGAATGAGTTTTCATTTAGGAAATAGTTGAATTTTCATTACATGCCAGCTATAATGCTCTGGTATGCTTGATTCTGATTGGTCAATAGAAGCATTAAGCATTCAAATATTTTTGAATGATTACCATTGCTCATCTGGGAAACCGTCATGTTCTGTCTCTAATAAAGCTAATAAAATGATTTAAACTTGTTTATTTAGTTAGCCATGTAACAAGTACAGTCGGACGGCCATTATTTTAAAACAAACCCTTCAGAGTGATATGATTGGCCTGTTGGGGTTAATTTACAACAATTGACTCTTCATTATCCTTTCCATAGTTTCTCTCAGGTGCAGATGAAACTCACAGAGGGCCGTTCTGAAGACGGCCAGACAGGTCTTTTTTTGATAATTCTTTCTCTTTCTCTGCTCTTTCTGTCTTTTTCTCGTTTGGCACCTCTCCTTCATCCACTGAGTTAATATTTTCCATGGTTGCCCTCACTGTCTGTCTCTTTCCTCTTGTTGTCCAAAGAACAGGGCATATAAAACCAGAATTACCATTCAGCAACAGTCTGGAGCCAAATGTGATCTGATTTCACTAGGAGATGTTTTTTTTTTTTTTGTATGTATTATTTATGTTTTAAGCCATTTTTTTTTCTTTTTTTGCCACATGGGATTACTGTTTATGAGCAGACAGGTCTTTTTTTGATAATTCTTTCTCTTTCTCTGCTCTTTCTGTCTTTTTCTCGTTTGGCACCTCTCCTTCATCCACTGAGTTAATATTTTCCATGGTTGCCCTCACTGTCTGTCTCTTTCCTCTTGTTGTCCAAAGAACAGGGCATATAAAACCAGAATTACCATTCAGCAACAGTCTGGAGCCAAATGTGATCTGATTTCACTAGGAGATGTTTTTTATTTTTTTGTATGTATTATTTATGTTTTAAGCCATTTTTTTTTTTCTTTTTTTGCCACATGGGATTACTGTTTATGAGTGATACAACATGCAGGACCAATATGTATATGAGCCTTTTAAACAGTTTGTACCAGTGCAATATGTTTGAACCATCAATCAACAAAAAATCCATGACAAATGTGTGGAGCATGTTAAATTTTATACCAATAACATATAACAACAGTTTAAAAGAACTGAACAATTCAGGCTCATTTATACAGAATTGTGTTGGAACATTTGCCTTGCCAGATCTATTACAGTACATCAGACTGATCAAATTGCCCTTCGAAAACTGTTTACCAAATGCTGACTTTAACTCCTTACACATACAAAGAGCACTTTTGTTCCTTTGCTGAATCATGGTGCTAAAATATTTACTGTTGTGCTCTATGATTAGCTTTACATTCAGATTTTTAAGAGAGGTTTGTTTGAACAACTCTACATTCATCTTTCCACAGCAGTGCCACTGTGTTTTTGAAGCCCTGGCATCTCATTGCTGCACACGGCTGTTATATTTTATAATATAATATAATAATCTCAATAAATATGCTAGATTTATTAATAAATAAAGTTATTAAAATGATTTTAAAATAAAACAATGATAATATAGTTAAAATATTACAAATATTTGAAAATAATAATTTATTTATTTAATTTTAGTGTTTTTTGAAGTATCATGACAATCCAATTAGCATCTAAAGCTAGAATGATGAACTTTGTAGGGTGGTGTTCTTTCACAACTTAACAGCATAGCATTTCTCCTCTTCTTGGTCCAGTTAAGTCACATGCACTGTTTCCTAGGTTCAGCAAATACATTGTGACCACAGTATGAGCGCACAGTGAGTGTGCAGTAACCCAACCCGTTCTCACCAGTCTGCGTATAAATAACACGACTTTACACTTTCTAATTGCGTGCAATGCATACGCCAAATGCCAATTTTGCGTGCATATGATACGCCAATCCTTCACATTAACTTCGGTGGAGAGCAGAAGCGTACAAATACCACGCGTCATCTTCAGCGGCAGTGACGTCACCAGCGAGGCTCAGTTCGTCCAGTTCACCTGATGCGCGTACACCTTCAAGCAGGTAAGGGCAACGATCTTTTTTTGTAATGAGATCATGTGGTTAACGGTATTATTTTAATTATTTCAGTGTTTCTGCATCACGTTACATGGGGTCATGTGTTAAAATGGCAGCATATGCGTTCAAATTATGGAACAGTGGGCTGCTCAGTTAGCACAGCT